GAAGAACTCCTTCACAGCCACTAGAGAAGGGAGGCTGAGCCTGCCGAAAAACATGGGAAGGTGTTTCTGGGAGGGATGGTAGGAAAACAGGACGGAGCTGCTTCACGGTGGTTTAACAGGGAGGGAATAACCACAGTAACGACAGTAGCGTGCACCCAAACAAAATGAGGACAAAACCTGTCCATTGGATAGGCCGGAGACGTGAAAGAACCACATCTGAAGCCAAATTGGAATGGGTTGAAGACAAGGGAGGAGCAAGCTAAGACGCGCCAGTGCTTGCCGAACCTTTTTGCTTTGTGGAAATACAGAAAATTTTATTTCAGTAGACAATGGGCAGTTGCACAAGGCTGGTCCCAGCTGGAAGTGCAGCCCCACACAGATGCTCTGAGGGCTAAGGAAATCAACATTTTATAACACCTGTAGCCATTTGAGATACACCAATACGTCTCAGAATACCAAGTGGGAAGGTCTGCCACAGACCACTTTCTCAGCCAGCATGGCTGTGAACTGGGGCTCCCAGAGGGGTGTGGAATCAAGGTGTGTTTGCTGGCTTAGTTTGGTTTGGTTAGAAGAGTTTTTTTTAAAAAGACGTCAGCATCTTTCAGAAGCATCTGTGGAAAAAAATCCAGTTGAGATGGGGGCACTGAATTCATGGGAGAGAAAAGGGTAGTGTAGCATTGGTGGTATAAAGCTCCTTAGAAGATACAAAAGAATCCAATTTTAGGTAGAGGGGTAAATGTACAGGATACCGTGTGTGCAAAAGTGTAATTCGCTCCACCATCCTAGAAATTGGATGTCCTTATTACCGTGTTACAAATTTAAAACCTGAAGCTTAATTAGATTAAGTCACTGCCCCAGGTTCCTTGCCTAGTAAGCAACATAGCCAGGACTATAACCTATATTTTTCTGACTTCAAAACTCCTAACAATTATGTTTAGGTGCTAGGCCTAGAGATGCAAAGATGAGCTAGATTCAGTCCTTGCCTTAGAAGAGGTCACATACTGAAAGTAGACAGAAGTACTAAAATAAATATAACATGGAGTGATAAATAGAATAATGGTGACATGGGGGAAAATGCTTTCGGAAGCACAAAAACTATACCCAAGTATATGCCTGTCACATCCTGAACTCATGGAGGCAGGGGTGGACTTGGCAAACTGCAAGGGCTAAAGAGAAATAAAAATAAACGGATGGATGGATGGATGAATGGATGGATGGGTGGGTGGGTGGGTGGATGGTTGGGTGGCTGGGTGGCTGGGTGGGTGGATGGGTGGATGGGTGGATGGGTGGATGGGTGGATGGGTGGATGGATGGGTGGATGGATGGATGGATGGGTGACTGGGTGGGTGGGCGGATGGATGGATGGATGGATGGATGGATGGATGGATCGATCGATCGATGGATGGATGGATGGGTGGATGGGTGGATGGGCGGATGGGTGAATGGGTGGCGGGATGGATGGCTAGAGAATAATAGTTCAATATGAATAAAGAGTCCCTCCTTAGGACAAGTGACGTTCATGTAGCCACAAGAGGTCGCTGCAGACCCGATGCAGATGAATTTTTTCCATTAGTGCTGCCATGCTCTCTCCAGTAGCTTTCAGGGAGAAAGGGGTTAGGATGGAGAGAGGGAATGAGGATGAACCAGATGCCCCATAGCTTTTTCTGCCCTCTGTAGGCCAGACCCAGGGCTTCATGCCTAGTCTGGCTCCATCTTCACCCTACTCCTTGTCAGTTCCACTCCTGTCCTAAGTTCTAGGCTTTTGATATGTTTCTCCAACATGTCCTGTCTTTCAGACCTGACTCAGAAATGGTGTCAGCTTTCTTCTTGGGCCTGTAGTTCTATCTATGAATGAGACTCCAGCCCCAACTGGCTTTCTGGCTAAGCGCCTTTGCACAAATTACTTCATCTTTCTAGGCCTCACCAAAAACACTAAGGTTGGGAGGAAGGCTGTGGTAGTTCAAGGCTTCCTGACCCACACTTCTTACACCTTCACCAAGCACTTCCTGCTGGCCAGGCATTGGCATAAGCCTACAGTATCCAAGAAGGCAGACACTTGTCACATGTAGCTGTTTAAATTTTTTAAATTTCAACTAAAGTAAAAACAATTAACTTCAGTGTCTCCATCTCATGAGTCAATTTCAAGTGCTTCATAGCTCTATGCAGCTACTGAACTGGACAGGCCAAAGAACATTTTCATCACTGAAAGTTCTATTAGACCTTGCTGTCTGAGTGCATTGTGTGTGTTTAATCTTGTTTGACCTTCATAACAACCCTATGATGCAGGTAGAGTTATTCATCCACTTTGGAGATAAGGACCGTGAGACACAGACTGGATAAAAAAGTGAGCCAAGGTCTCTCACCACATTCGGATCCAGAGTGAAGATCCAAGCTCAGATGTTTGGCTTCAGGGCCAATCAATCACGCGGAGCTGTCTGCTACCCCAAGCTCTCCTGCTGTCCCCTCTCGCCTCCAGGAGCTGCACTGACTTATCCTATTCCCCAGTGGCCATTGTTCCTGACTACTGCCACCCTGACAACGGACTCTGAGTGATGAGGGCACCAAGGCCTGGAGCATCTTCTAGATGAGGATCCACACTCTATTTTTCTCCCACCTCCTGTCAGCCCCTCAATTCCCTTAGAGTATCAGTGTTCGTGTATCATGGATTTTCCCATCTCCCCTAACGCATCCCATTCTCAGTTCAAGGTCAGCCCGAATCCTGGAAGATTCCTAACCTGCGTAGCAGTCCTGTTGCTGTTTTTCTAGGGTCACCTTCATCCCCAAGGGAATGACGTGCAGCCAGCTCAGCTCAGAGAGCCCGTTGCACTGACACCTCTGAAAGTGATGCAGCAGCATCTCACTCTGCAGGGGAAGTGCGAGAAGTCGGGCTGCAGTTCACACGCTCGTGCTGCCGGAACCCTGTGAAGGTAGAAGTTGCCAGGGCCGGGGCTTCAACCATTTTGTGTGCAAACCACAAGCCTTTGCAAGCTAGACCACTTGTGGTTGTCCCCTCTCGCTCTCCTGCCCCAGCTGCTGCTCTGCAGAGCTTCCACATACCCACAGGACCTGCAGCCGAATGAAGCTGTGGGCAACTCAGGAGATCTGTTGGAAAGAGAACGATAGAGGAAAATGTATGAATGTTGCCATCTTCAGGTGACTGGTCAAGAGATCCACTTCCTACTCTACTTCCTCATTCCTTTTACCTCTTACCTAAACAACTGAGTCAGCAAAAAATAATAATAATAATAAAACAAAAAATGCCTGGCAGTGTCAAATTAATTTCCCACTTCCACTGAGTCAGAGAATCTAGGGCAAGAAAACTTAGAAAATTCTCTCTCTCCATTCCTGGCCTCAGCAATAAGCACATCAAATTCTATCAGGCTGTGCAGAAGTTCTCGCTTAAAGATTTCCAGGAAGAACTTTACTGTCAGAAAATACTTACTTAGTCGGGCATGCTGGCGCACACCTGTAATCCCAGCTACTTGGGAGGCTGAGGCAGGAAAATGGCTTGAACTTGGGAGGCGAAGGTTGCGGTGAGCCAAGATTACACGCCAGTCTGGGCAACAAAGCGAGACTCCTCAAAAAAAAAAAAAAGAAAGAAAAGAAAAGAAAAAAGAAAATGCTTCCTAATATTTTGCCTGCCTCTGTGTTTCACCTTAAACTCTCCCATTCTGTCCACAGAGGAGATGGAAATGTGCAACCTCTTTCTGTGCTGAGGGACCGTTGAATAATTTCCAATTTGTATCTATTACAAATGATGCTGCTGAGAGCACTCTTGTACACGTTTTTGGATGCCCATATGTATACATTTCTGTTCAACATGTACCTAGGAGTGAAAATGCTGAGCCATCAGGAATCCCTGTGGTTAGTCTTGGTAGTTTCTGCCAGGCCATTTTTCTAATGAGTGTACCAATTTATAGTCACACTAGTAGTGCACAAGAGTTCTAATTTCTTCACATCCTCACCAATACACGGTAAAGGATTGCATGGGGAGGGTCACTGGGTTCCCCCCACCCAGCTCAGTCTCAGCTGGTATCACTCCCTTATTCTTATGGTAGGTGTAATGGTATCTCATTGTGGTTTAAATTTGCATTTCCACAGTAATTTATGATGTCAGGCTCCTTTTGCAATGTTTATTTGACATGTAGATATCTGCTTCTGTGAAGTACCTATCCAGTTCTTTTTGTCCATTTTTCTAGTATGTTGTCTGTGTGTGTGGTGTTTTTGTTTTTTTTTTTTTTTACTGACTTGCAGAAATTCTCATATTTCATATACAGGCTCTTTGTTGCCACATATATTTAAGCTATCTCATCACACCACAGCTCACCTAGTCCCTCTCTTAATGGTGTCTTTTAAGGAAGAGTTCTCAAAATAACACCTGCCAGTCTTAAAAGGCTCAGATTCTGGAGCTCCATCTGCGCTCTACTCTGAACCCATCGATGCCTGATTCCCTCCCGAACTGAGGATCCTGTGAACAGTCCTCAGAGCTCCACTTCTCCATCCCATTGCGGCATCCACACACATCTGCCTCTGGAGACATGAGGGCCTCCGAAGCTAGGAGGTCACTCGGGGGTCAGAGAGTAGATGAGCTTAGTTTTCCAGTTGGGTGCCATCTCCCAGGCTGAACGATGCTGAGGCCAAGCACATTCAGGCAGACTCTGGATCTTTCTAATGGAGGTGTCCCATAGCCATGGTCCATCCCGGTTCCCTGGCATGGGCTTGTTGAAGCCACAGAAAATGTCAGGGATTCATTAGTGATTTACCGACTCCGTCGTGCTTCACATTCAAGAAAACATATTCATGTAATACTTCTTCAACCAAAGAGGAAACACCAATTAGAGCTTTTTAAGTTTCTTTCTCACTTCCTTTTCAACTATCAAGCTGTGGCACCACCCAGCTCAGGTCACCCACCCAACCTTCGGGCCTGAGGCCTGGTTGCTCTCTGCCAGCTTCGCCCCTGCCTGAATCTGACCTGTGTTCCCTCCTCTGTGCCGATACAGGCCCCATGCTGCTCTGGACGGCTGTGCTGCTCTTCGGTAAGTCACTGAGCATGGGCATCCCCTCCCAGAGCACTAAGGATTAGAAGTCATCCTGAGACACCAAGTTCCTCATTATCCCTTTCCCAATTCCGGTGGGTTTGTGGCTGGAGCTCAAGACAGGTGGGTGCACCTGGGCATGCTCGGGAGAGACAGGCACTGGGATAGGAGGGTCTCCTCAGTGTTTCCTATTCGATTGTCCTGGGTTCTTGGCAGGGTACACCTTCGATGTGTCAGAGATAAGTTAGGGAGGCAGAAAAACACATTACAAGGTCTCCTTACACCCCAGTGACATTTCTACCTTGTGACATTGGGTTAAAATCCTCATCAGAGTTGCCTCGAAAAGCAATTGAGGTTACGGAAGGGAAGGGGACTGCTGGGGGCGACAGGGCCAGGGTCAGGGCAATGAGGGAAAACAGTCCCTAGCATTTTGCTTAGCAGTGGGAGGTGGAATTTTACAGGGTGATGTATTTTTATGGAGCCTCTGCATTTTCTTAGAACCAGTTAACAATGGCCAGCCTTCTCACCTGGTTGAAAGGCCTGTGCTCTGAGTAACCAAAGACCTTTTCAAATTGACAGTCTCTCTTCTGCCTACATCTTCTGTCTGTTGGGAGCTGTTTCAGATCCATGGACTGGTTTGTAGAATCAAATCCGTTATCCTAGCCAGGTCTCTCTTCTCTTCATTTCTCCTCATGCAGGTTACTTGTAACTGAGGGAGCTGGTCTAAGGGTACAGGACTGCATGGGAGGGTCACTGGGCTCCCCCAGACCCAGCTCAGTCTCGGCCAGTGTCATCTCTCTGCTACCTAAAAGAAATAATTCGCGCATATATTTTGTTTCACTTTATAGTTTCCAAGTGGACCTATGTTTTGTTTAATTCTTGATCCTAATGGCTCGTTGGCTGTTTGTTTTCATTGAACTAGAAAAGCAGAACTGTCCCTAAATATAACCTCTTCCTGAACAGACTTTTTGAGAATCTGACCCTGTGAGGAAAATGCCTGTCCCACTCAGTGTTCCTTCTCCAGCACAGCATGCTACGCTGTTTGTTCTATGGATGGGCATTTGGACAAATGAAAAGGTCTAATGCTCACACTGAGGCAGGGACGGGATGGCCTAGTGCCTAGACATACTCCAAGCAAAAGACTCCAAGGGGCAATTGGCGCTAACTTGCAAATTCATCTAGATACAGTCTGCGAGTATTCCAGCTTGGAACCCAGGACAGGGATGACAGACAGCAAAGGAGGAGAGAAGGGAGTCAGTGAGCAGCGGACTGGTGCACCGTGTAATGGAGAACCCAGCACCAGCAAATGTGGTCCCACTTGATGCTCAGGGACCCCGGAAAAACAGCCTAAAACACAGGCCCTGGGGCTGGGTGTATAGGAACATTTACCATACTGTAAGTGTAGAACTACTATTTCTGCTCTCTAGAGCAGGATGTGGTCACAATAAGTTGGTGGCTATTACTATTATTGGCTGTCAGGGCTCCAGGAGGCTAGGAACCCTGACGCTAGACATGCTGAAACCTGGCTGAATTCTAAATATGTATTTAACGTTTGGGAAAGTAGCCTTAATTTTCTTCTGAGCTGAACATTAGACAAATTCCGCCCTACCACTGGAGCCTGCCGCTAAATACTCACACAGCATCCACAGAAGGTGTGTCATGGGGTCCCATACAACCCTCCCAGCAATGTGGCTGCTGCAGCTTGGCACGGTAGCATGTCCCACCATGGTAGATCTCAGCGGTCAGACAGTTCTTCTTGTTAAGTTCAAAGCTGCCTCCCTGTCCCTCTAGCTTCCATTTCTGTCCTATAAAGTGAGTCAGAATAAGTCTCTCCCTTCTTTTAAGATTAGCCCACCAAGTATTTTGGGTACCTCCTCTGTTGCATGTTTCCCAGCTAAATATCTTCCAATGCCCCGACAACTCTAAGAGGAAATTATCCTGCTCCTAGAGTTGGTGGGGCCGGGGGAAGCTGCTGCCTTCATTATTCAGAACTGTATTATACAACTTGGTTTGACAGTAACTCTTGGCCACCTCAACACACTGTCACCTCATCTTCAGCATATGGCTGACGGAGGTCCCCAGCCCTCATTGCAGGAACTGCTGTGAGCAGGTGTCACCCACTGTGTATGTTCCCCGTTGGCTGCTTGTTTTGATTACAGGAGGCAATTTTGTAACCCCGCCTCCAAGATCTTGCAATATCATGAGCAGCAAGTCATTGGGATTTGGGGGCATGAGCTCATTTTAAGTGCATCTCTGCTTCCTGAGTGCCTTCTCTCTTGTTTCTGGTTTCGGTAGCCTCAACCCTGTTAGTTTAGAGAGGCGTCCCCAAACTTTTTACACAGGGGGCCAGTTCACTGTCCCTCAGACCGTTGGAGGGCTGCCACATACTGTGCTCCTCTCACTGACCACCAATGAAAGAGGTGCCCCTTCCTGAAGTGCAGCGGGGGGCCGGATAAATGGCCTCAGGGGGCTGCATGCCGCCCATGGGCCGTAGTTTGGGGATGCTGGTTTAGCACTTTGTAGCTGCAAAATTGTTTTCCAGTGAGGAGGGGAAGGGAAAGAAGACATAACTACAGAGTAAGGTCTCCCTCACTCTGGGGTCAGGCTCCTTTCTGCTTTCAGTTAATGTAGTAAACTCTTTCCCAGGCAGTGGGTCAATATAACCTTCACAACTACACTGTAAAAAAAAAAAAAAAAAAAAAAAAAGAATGACAATTATCGTATCTATCATGTGATATGACAGAACGAGATATTGAAGGCTCTGGAATTTAGACAACTTGTTCAAGGTCATACAGAAAGAGGGAAATTCACGACTCAAGTCCAGGTCATCTGATTCCAAATTCTGCATGCTTTCCACTACACCAAGCTGATAGACGGGGGTTAGAGGTGGAGATAGAGGGATGATAAGGAAAAGACTCATTGTTCTGTACACTCTTGAGAACTTATGACTGGGCTGACCCTGAGCTGAACAGAGAATTGAGCTGAAAGATGCCATCTGTGTCCAAAGCAGTGTAGAAAGTAAAGATGGCACCATATGACACAGCCAAACATCTGCTCTTGGAGGGTTTTCACTCACTCTTCCCAAAGCCAATCTTGCATTTTTTGGTGTTATGCAAAATACCTAGGATGTGTCAGCAATGAAGGACACAAGTAAATGTACGAGGATTGGCTGGACCCACTGCACTCAGCCTACATTCATTCATTGTTTCACCCTTGCCCCAAAGTCCAGAATATTGTTCACTGCTTCATATCCATCTATGCCCTTCAATTCAGGGTCTTCCATTGCTTGGGCTATTCAAACCTATCTAAGCCATATCTGTTATCATTTTGTAAGTTGGCCTCTCTTCCCAGGCCACCTATTCTCCTCACACATTCGCTCATTTAAAAGCATAAATGCAGCACACACAAGATGCAAGCATGTTGTGGGATGCACCTGGTTTGTCTGTAGTTCTCTCATTCATCCACGCTGCCTGACAATGTCTCACATCTTTAATGATTACTCTTACAGGGAACTTTGCCTCCTCAGTCTGATCATTTCCATACTCTTTTCACCAGAGCTCTGTGGACAGATAAGACCACAAGAATCAGCTCCTGCCCTTATGTATGGGTTCTCCTGCAGATGTTGGTGGTAGGACCCTCAGGCACATTTGTGCGAGAGCCTAGTCCTGTGTTTTCTACTTTTTGCTTCCCACCCCATATAACTGGATTCAAAAAAAAAGCATTCATGCATTTATTCAGCAGATGCTTACTGAACACAGACTATATTCCAGGCACAGATCCTAGGCATAGAAAATATGGCAATGAGTAAGATAGGCAGAGTCACCACTGCATGGGGCTTACATTCCAGATAGAGAGACAGGGGATAACATGTAGACAATTTAAGGAATAAGATAAATTCAAATAGTGATAAGTGCTTTGATGATAATATAATGGGGCATCATTTTAGTGATTGGGAAAAATTCTTTTGATTGGGATCCCAGGGAAGATCTGTTTGAGAGGCAGCGTTAAATCTAAATAGGGCAAAGAGTTCTAGGGAGATCTACCATAGACGTTGAGTGGTCAAGTGGCTGGGTGGTTGTATGGCTGGGTGGCTGGGTGGTTGGGTGGCTGGGTGGATAGGTGGCTGGGTGGCTGGGTGGTTGGTGGTTGTATGATGGGATGGCTAGGTGGCTGGGTGGTTAAGTGGTTGGATGGTTGAGTGGTTGGGTGATTGGTTGCTGGGATGTCTAGATGGGTGAGTGGTTGGGTGGCTGTGTAGTTGGACAGTTGGATGGTTGATGGCTGCGTTGCTTGGTGGTTGAGTGGCTATATGAAGGGATAGTTAGAAGGTTGTGTGGATGGGTGGGTGGGTGGTTTGGTGGCTGGGTGGTTGGATGTTTGGGTGGTTGGTTGAACGGGTGTAAGTCCCCATTGCTGAAGTGACAGGCCTCCCTGTCAGAAAGTTCTTTTTGCTACTTAACCTAGTTGTGTTACTTTGTTCTCTTGCAGTTCCCTGTGTTGGGAAAACTGGTAAGTTTTGTCCACATCTCTTCTAGCTCAAAGTATGTCTATGGGCCAAAACTTACTGGATGGGAACAGGACAGTGCCATGGGGTCACCCAGCAGCATCTGCAGAGCCACTCCAGACTAGGCCTCTTCCTCAATGATCTTGGCCTGTTCCCAGGAAGAGGAGACACCTAGAACTCCACTAGTCTAAGGCCAAGGGTAGTCCTAGGGTGACCCAAGCCTCAGCAGTGGGGTTCTAGGCCTCTATTCTATTTCCTTAAAGGTGACTATATCTCTGTCTTCTCTCTATGTGGATCTGGAGCTCCTATATTCTCAACTCAACAATACTGGGACTCCGTTCCTTCCTTTTATGTTCAGAGAAGCAGGCACCTTTGTCTGCTGATCAGTCTTCCTTCCTTCCTCAGATCCCCTTCCCTCCACCCCATTCTGTCCCACTGACCTCCATGGAGCTTTCTGTCAAATAGGAAAAATTCTCACCTATGAAATCTTGACCTCCAAGGATATGTTCTGTGACTCCAGGGGAACAGAGTTCAAACCAACACTTAGTGCTGCTAGAAAAAGCAGTTGTGGGAGCAAGGCTTACCATTTAGTGATGCAGTGAGCATCATTACTTCCAGGGTGAGGAGAGTGGGTCCTAAGGATCCAGAAGATACAGGCAAGAGCAGGGTGTGCTGGGGCTCCCTAACTGCTTACTCCTCATTACTCTCAGGCCATTAGGCCTGCTCAGAAGGTTGTCTGGGAATGGGGGTGTTTGGCTTATCAGAGATGATACAGCTAGGGTACAGGCTCAGATTGCCCTGCAGGTGATGGTGGATCCCTGGGAGCTCTTCTGCCCACATCAGGGCATAGAATACATTTCAGGAATAGTGACAGAGAGAACAGATCCCTTCCATGACAGTGGTGGAAGCTGAAACCCTGCCGAGTGGGGAGATGGAGGCTGGGCCTCGGAAAACCCACTGTGGAAGGCAGGAAGGAGACAGCTAAGGCTGTGGCCCCTCCAACACTCCCTGCCAACTGCTTTCTGGTGGACAGAGATGCCGCTGTTATCAGAAGTGAAGGCCGAAGACAGTGTCACACTAGGTAGCCAGAGGATGAGAAGTTAGTCCAGGCTGGAGGGAATTGAGCCAGGAGGAATGAGGCAAGACAAGGAACAGGATGAGTGCAAGGAAGCCAAGCTTGCCAAGGCAGACAGGAAAGTGCAGTATAAAGAAGACAAGGAGGGTGGGTAGGAAGAAAGCCAGAGAGAAGACACAGGGAGAGGAGAGAATGGGAGGGGAAGGGAAAGGAATAAAGAGAAAGAGGGAAGAGGAAGGAAAGAAGGAAAGAAGGAAAGGAAGGAGAGGGAGTGAAGGAAGTCCGGGTCCTGCCCCGCCCTGGCCGGCATGAAGGACTGGAGACAGAGACACTGCCCTGTGCCATCCAAGGGCCTCCATCCCCAGCAGAGGCCTTAGGCTGGGGTCAGCGGGAGAGAAGTGACCCATGGGAGCTGCTGCTCCAGGGTTTCCCTGTCTCTGTGTCTCACAGCCTGGCTGTGCCTCCAAGCCTGGCCAGACCCTGTGTTTGAAGGAGATGCCCTGACTCTGCGATGTCAGGGACGGAAGAATATATCAGTGTCTCAGGTGAAGTTCTACAAAGATGGGAAAGTCCTTCATTTCTATGAGGGAAAGCAGACTCTGTCCGTGGGAGCAGCAACACTGCAGAGCCGTGGCCAGTACCACTGCACCGGGCAGGTGATGTATATTCCACAGACGTTCACACTAATTTCAGAGGCTGCCATGGTTCAAGTCCGAGGTGAGTCACCAGCTTGGGAGTTTGTGGGGCAGGAGGTTCCATTCAGGGGTCCTGTCTCTAGGGGTCAGTAGCTCTCTGGGCAGGATCCCTGTCTCTGGCTGCCCCTCATGCTCGGCCAATGTGTGGTGCCCTGAGGTTTCCCAAGATGTTGTCTGAATGTCCCCCTCCCCACCATGGGACACATCTGGAACCAGGGGAAGGAGCAGGGAGATCCCTGGGAGGGGGTGCTGGGAGGAGGACGGACCGGTCCAGGCTCGCCCTCCCTTCTGCGGACTAGAAGACCTCGAAGGCCCCCACTGGCTGCGAGGGAGTCATTTCAGAGCTTGTGGGTGAGGGCAAGAGGACAGGTCCTGGGGATGAAACTGCCTCCCATCAGGGTCCCCAGGCTGCAGCATGGGATGAGCAGGAGCTCAGGCCTCAGCCTCCTGGGCTTCATCACCCTGGACTTGCCTCCTGAGACCTGGGCCTGCTTCTCCCCAGAGCTGTTCCCACCTCCTGTGCTGAGTGTCATCCCCTCTCCTGAGCCCCGAGAGGGGAGCCTGGTGACCCTGAGATGTCAGACAAAGCTACACCCCCTGAGGTCAGCCTTGAGGCTCCTCTTCTCCTTCCACAAGGACGGCCACACCTTGCAGGACAGGGGCCCCCTCCCAGAACTCTGCATCCCAGGAGTCAAGGGGGAAGACTCTGGGCTTTACTGGTGTGAGGCAGCCCTTGAGGGTGGCCAGGTCCAGAAGCAGAGCCCCCGGCTGGAGGTCAGAGTGCAGGGTAAGTGCACAAGGGTGGGGAGATGCCCCCAGGGGTCTGGGCATGGGGCAGTGGGACCCCCTGGGAGGAAGGGAGTTGGAGGAAGGGTCCCTGGAAGAGGAGGAAGCCAGGTCCTGGGTGGTCAGGCTGAACCTCCCACCCCATATGTGTCCCAGCTCCTGTGTCCCGCCCTGTGCTCACTCTGCAACACGGGCCCGCTGACCCTGCTGTGGGGGACGTGGTGCAGCTCCTCTGTGAGGCCCAGAGGGGCTCCCCTCCGATCCGGTATTCATTCTACCTTGATGAGAAGATTGTGGGGAACCACTCAGCTCCCTGTGGTGGATCCGCCTCCCTGCTCTTCCCGGTGAAGTCAGAGCATGATGCTGGGAACTACTCCTGCGAGGCTGAGAACAGTGTCTCCAGAGAGAGGAGTGAGCCCAGGAAGCTCTCTCTGAAGGGTGCGTTTTGTCCTTCACCAGAGCTTTGAGCCCCAGCAAGCTGACAGAGGTCAGATCTCACCCTCTGTGTACCTCCCACCGTGCCTGGCACAGTGCTGGACCCGTGGCAGCCACTGCATGACCAAGTGTGGACCCTAATTGGTCCATCTGTCCACTGAGCCTGGCAGGGAAATACTGAAGTCCATGAAGAGTGGGAAGCATCATGGGGGGAGCAGTCACGTGGTCGCTCACGGTGTCGCCATCATCCTTGCTGGCAGTGCCTGAGCCGTCCCTCGTGCCCATCTACAAGGCTCCTCCAGGCCAGACGGCTCCCCCAATACCAGTCATTCTGCCTCCTGTGCCAGGCTGGAATGCATTTCTGAATTTTATCCTCGGTGCTCATGGCCACCTTCCTCTCCCCATTTCCAGGTTCTCAAGCCTTGTCTACTCCCACCGGCAGCAACCGGCTGGTTCCTTGGCTGCCTGTGAGCCTGTTTGGCATGATGGTCATTGCTGCTGCATTTCTGGTTTATTTGAGACCCTGGAGAAAAGCTGGTCCGTAACTCTCCTTGGCTTTCTTAGCTGCCAAATCCCTGTGCCAGGCCCTGCCTAACCTTTGAAAAGCCAGAGTCTGACATGACCAGCCACTCTCTTCTCCTGGGTGCGGGGTGGGAAGAGGGACTTCTCTCCCTGTGTCACACAAAGGGGCACATGGAAGGACAGTTAATGCTTCCAAAACATGCACACACATGCACTCACTCACAGGCTCGCAGTCATCCAGAGATGCTCACAAACACGACCGCACACTCAGGCGTGAACAGAACATAAACCAAGGAATTATTACAAGCCAAACATGATGCATGTCAATGTCCTTTACATTAGAAAGACAATCTGTGGCTAGGAATATGACCGAAAAACAAACAAACAAAAAGACCGAGGTCTCCGCCTCTCGCTCTCATTGAGCTCAGCAGAGCTCCGGTCTGCTTAGCAGAGGAGAAAGACAGAACTACAGTGTATATGTACAGGCTCACACACACTCATGTTGTACAGTACTTTACTGTAGCAGAGTGTGCAGAGGAGATTAACTATCAGAAAGGAAATATGATCAACAAGACTGAGCAACGGCCTGGCCCCAACAGTACCTTCAGTTCCATAGCCTGGAGCCAGTTCACTGTAAGACTCCCTAAATCAGCTTCCTCTCCAGGGATACCCTAAGGGTTTAAGTTAATGAAGAGCATTTATCTAACACCTCATGTATTAGACTGGCACATAGTGGGTGCTCAGTAAATTCTCATTCTAATCTGAGCAGATCACACCAGCAGGTTCCCAGGCTGCCCTTTCTCCTCTGTGCATTCCCTAACGCTTGTAATCAAAGTTACTGAAAAGAAAAAGGTTGGTTAAAATTCTGATGTGGAGGAAAACAATCAGAAAAATGACATTGCAGGTTATCTATTTATTGTGATATTCCAGACACTCTTCTTCTTCCTGTCTCAGTCGTGATAATTAAGAATGAATGTTGGCTTTCATTCACGTGTGGCCACGCGTTTATTCCAACTCTACCTTTTGCTTGCCTCAGGCCACATGTAAAGAATGGCTACCAGTGCCAGAGCTGTCTGGTGTCAGTTCATTCCTAGGGCTTCAAATCTGCCCACAGAGGTTCGAATAAACTTCCTCCTCTGCAGGGCAATGTTTTTATTTTCTACTTGTCTAGGACAAAAGTCATTGCTCTCACAGACATCCAAAGCTATTTGCTTATTTAAGTTCGCAGCTCCCTCTGCTGAGAAATTTGGGATGAGCTTTCCAGGAACTGGGCCAGCCTGCCAATTAAGGAAGACCACCCAGTCATATGTTCAAAGCATTCCTTCCTGCATTCACCAGGGTGGCTGAAAGGGTCTCTCCCCATCCCTAGTCCCAACACCCCACCTCACCAGGCGCCTAGTGAGGGCTTGGACCAGACTTCAACTTCCTCTCCCCTTTTGAATTTGTAGTCTTCTGTCCATACAACTTCCTATCCCCACCCTTCTCACTAGTATTGAGTCTGGATTCAACATAGGCTAGGTTTGCTTTAAGGTATCCCTTCATAGTGGGGAAAAAGGAGAGGAGGCCCAGAGCTACTGGGGAGGCAGCTGGAGTAGGGAACCACAAACCAAAGATCTGTGAGTCGTATGTCATTGTGTCTAATAAAGTCTCCTCCAAATGTCCTCAGTAACACAGGAGCTTCTGTTTCTGTCCACTCACCTCTGAGTCAAAGCATTAAAGGCAGAGTAGCGCGTCACAATTTTCTCCCTCTCCAGCCACAGACAAGATGGTGAAAGTGCGGTCACTAGTGAAAGATCCTCAAGAAGAAGATGTCTTTCACAGGGAACAAAAGAGCATCCTCTTGATGTAGAGATTATATACCGTCACCACCAATCTTGAGCAGATGGGCTTCATTTTACCAAGGAGCCTGTCTCTCATGCAAACAGGACTACTGGGGGTGATCTTAATATCTCAGAATGTCGGGCACACAAAATATTCTTTAGAATATTGCTCAGAAAGTCACTTTCAGGACCAAATCTATAGCTACAGAGGAAAAACAGCCAGATCAATAGCCTTATTCTCCACACCCAGTTCTAAGAGACTCACAACCATTTCCAGATAGCATAGCCATTCTTCAACAAACAGAAATATGCCACCATCAAAGACGGTCAACAGATGTGATGTCCAAAGTCAATTTTTAGAACATTTGACCAATGGTGGTGTTACTGGAACGAGGATATGGTCATGCAAGGGGTCCACTTCAAAGTGCACTTACCTGCACATACAGGTTCTGCTGTGCTTGTTTAAAAGTGTTCCTTTTACTACCTGTTGTCACTCATCTCATAAAACAAAAGTCTGCCAAACTCATGGAACTCTTCATCGAATGGAGACTCCGAAGCTGAGGCTCATTTCTCAGCCCTGACAAATGAACATTGGAGAATGCTTAATCATCGGGGATCTGTCTAGGTGTCCATAAATGCCCTCTTGATTTTATAGAAGAAGCCATTCCCACATATTCTACCCCGTGATTCTGATGCTTTCCAGCTGTTAGAGTAGTAAGTATTTCTTGGGCACCAGGCATGAATCAAGTGTTCTAAAGTCTGCATGTGACCCAATTCCTGTCCCAGGAGTTACTGTTAAAGTTATGGAACCACGTGCTGTTTCAGAGTCAGTGTACTAATGGAGAAAAGGCATGAAACCTGCATTAAGATTCTGTCTCCACCACTTACGATGACCTTAAAGAAGACTCCTTCCTCAGCCTCAGTCACCTCATCTATGAAACGGAGATAAAAGTATCAACCTTTGCAAATGGTTGTGAAGAACATTAGACACCAAAGAATTAGAAAGTGGGGTGTTTTTGAAATCTATGTGCTGGTCACTGGTAGGTGCTTTACTAGGAAGATTATGTTTTATTTGGATTGCCTGGCATATAGTGTATGGTCAAAGTTATTAGCTTTTCTTCCTTCAGAAAAGTGACCTGACTGGTAAGCCTAGGCCCTCTCCATGCAAAAATGTGATCCATTCTTGCTGACCCTACTTCCTCCTAGTTTGTGATTCCCAAGGAGCCATCTGAGGTATTTTTTAAAGGAAACATCCCATTAAAAACCAACCATGTCCAGACCTGTGAATCAGCCCTCCTAATCAAATCAGCCTCAAACTTCCAGCGTCCTCTCTGCCATTCTTGCTCACAGCTTTCCTGTCCCCTGTCCCACGTGCCCTCTAAGGGATACTCAGTGAATTGTGCCTTTGTATCTCCTAGGACCCCTTCCATCCCAGATACCACCCACCACTCCAGGTGGAGAGAGGTGCTCACCATATGCCAATGGTAAGGACTTCCAGCAGGATGGTGCTCTGCCCATGTGGGCCAAGAAGAGCTTCTTAAGGGCAGTAAGAAGAAGGGAGCTCTCTCCAGATGACTCCAATTCCTGAGCCCTGTGTCTCAGGAATTGGAGTCATCTGGGAAAGGAAAGCAAACAGCTTCTAGGGAGGGCGTGGTGAGGGAGTGCTGTGGAGCTGGTGGTGAGAGAGGGAGGTGGGAAGGGAGCCAGGGCTGCCGGAGATGGGGCAGGGAAGGTTTGGACCAAGGGTTGGCCAACTTATGGGCCATAGTCCAAACCCAGCACACTGCCTATTTTTGTAGATAAAGTTTTACTATAACACAGACATGCTCATTTGTTTATTTTGTATGAGAGCTTTCATACTACAGAGTTGAATCATTGTGACAGAGACTATACAGCTCACAAAGCCAAAAATATTTACTGCCTTTTTGACAGAAAAAGTTGGTCAACCTCTGATTTAAACCATATCAGGGCTAGGGAAGCTGCAAAAAATTGCTAAGGGGTCCAGACTCCTCCTGCCATGATGGCTACCCCCACGTTAGTGACCAACCCCCATTGCCACTTATCACCATGACAGAGCCCCAGTGGGCTTCTCTCCATGTCTTCAGGACGCTTACGGCATGAGGTGGGAGAGTCAGGTGGATCCTCTTTCAGCCTCATTCCTTCTCCAGGGCATCACCAGGAAGAGAAAGGTGAAGGTGTCGTCTACTCTGTGCGGCGTGGGACCTCACGGAGAGTGCAGGTGAGTGATCTCAGGCCAAACCTGGTACCTTTGCGAACAGAAGTTTTGGACCTATGATGAAAGTATCACTGCAACTGTCATTACCACCTTATCATTACTATCATTACTGTGACCACCACCATCACCAAGACCATCGTATTTACCTCCATTAGTGTCACCACCCTCTCCTCCTTCACTGCCATTTCCGCCTTCACACCATCATCCATGCTACCACCACCCATCTCCTCCTCCACAGCACACTCACCACAAACACCTCTAGGACCACTACACTCTCCCCATTCTCAGCATCATCTCCTCCACCACTGTTACCAGGGTAACTGCAGAGAGGTTTTTCTCCTTTCCCAAACACTGGGAAGGACAAAGAAAAGAGAAAAAAAAAATGATGCAATCTTCCTTTGCTCCAGAGTCTAAGTCTCAACAGGCCAGTTCCCACAATAAGATGGAGTCAAGAAGACCATGAGCTTCCGCCACAGCTGTCAGAGTCGGGTGGCAGAGATGGGGGAAAGGCTGGTCCTTTAACAGAGAAATAGGCCACATGGCATCATGGGAAGTGTGGGTTTCTGAGTCTCAGAACTGAGTTTGAAACCTCACTGTGGACTCGGCGAGTCAAGGGCCCTCTCTGAACCTAACCTATAAAGGGGAGACAATGCCTGCTTTGCAGGATTACTCTAAGTTGTTGGGAATGGAACCCAGGTTCTAGAAACAACCCTTAAAAATTGTCTACATGTGGGCCGGGCACGGTGGCTCAAGCCTGTAATCCCAGCACTTTGGGAGGCCGAGGCGGGTGGATCACGAGGTCAAGAGATCGAGACCATCCTGGTCAACATGGTGAAACCCCGTCTCTACTAAAAATACAAAAAATTAGCTGGGCATGGTGGCACGTGCCTGTAATCCCAGCTACTCAGGAGGCTGAGGCAGGAGAATTGCTTGAGCCCAGGAGGCGGAGGTTGCGGTGAGCCGAGATCGCGCCATTGCACTCCAGCCTGGGTAACAAGAGCGAAACTCCGTCAAAAAAAAAAAAAAAAAAAATTGTCTACATGTAATAGATGTTCAAAAACAGGAAGTTTTATTGTTGCTGTTGTTTTAATGTCTTACCTGCTCTGCTATTTCAATTCCTAGTCTGCAAAAATGGGGCGAATTGGCCTAGGATTTCTGTTCCTTCCTGCAAATGGCAGTAGGGAAATGAACAACCGAGGAGTCTCTTACCTGAGGGCAAGTTGCCCAGGACTTGAGGTCACACCACTGGTGTGTAGTCCATTCGGAACTAGAACCCAGGCATCTCAATTCGAGGTTGAGGAGTAAAAGGGATCTCTCCCACTGGGTTGCCTGGCTCTCCAGAAGAAGATAGCCAGCCAGGAGGGGTGGGAAGGAGAGGGACTTGCTGTGGCGCACAGAGACCTGACCTGAGCACACTCTTTCCCCACAGCCAGGCCTGCTGAGTTCACCGCAGGAATAAAGGTGAGCTGGGATCCCTGTTCCTTTCTCACCCTCTGTCTCACCTCTGCCTCCTCATCCTGAACCAACTCTTTCACAGGACAGTTCTGTCATCTATGCAGAGGTGAGATGCCTGCAGCCCAGTGAGGTTTCATCCAAGGAGTTGAACGTAAGAAGCAGGACCCTCCAAGACCCCCTTGGCGGCTGTGAGGAGGTTCTCTGCTAGTGATGGTGTTTTCCTGTCAACACGCGCCCATTCCCGGGCTCCAGTGCTCCCCGGGAGGACCGTGGACTCCTTGCCTCTTTTTGTGGGTCCTTCAGTTCCCAAGCCCAGCATCACAGAGCCCTTGAGCCCTTTTCCTGACCAGAAGAACCTGAACCCTGGGTTCTCCTCATAGCAGAAGACCAAGCAGTGGAGTGGGAACGGAGATGCCCCCACCAACAGACACACTTAAGTTCAAGCAGTGATACTGGACACAGAAGCCATAGATGTTTTCTTTCCATACAAGCATGTGTCAGAGTCAGTTCCCCCCAATATATATAATCATCTCCTCCACCACTGTAACCAGGATATATATATATATATGAAACAGTCATGTGCCACATAACATTTCAGTCAATGATGGACTGCATACACAACAGTGGTCCCAGAAGAGTATAATGGAGTTGAAAACTTCCTACTGCCTGGTGATATCATGGCTGCCTTAACATCACAGCACAACATTTCTCACGCGCTTGTGGTGACGCTGGTACAAACAAGCTACAGCTCTGCTAGTCACATAAAAATATAGCACATACAATTACGTACAGTAGCTCATATGTGATAATGATAAACAACTATGTTACTGGTTTATGTATTTATTATAACTTTATTTTTGAGATGAAGTCTTGCTCTGTCGCCTAGGCTGGAGTGCAGTGGCACGATCTTGGCTCACCGTCACCTCTGCCTCCCGGGTTCAAGCGATTCTTTTGCCTCAGCCTCCTAAGCAGCTGGGACTGTAGGCATGCGCCACCACGCCCAGCTAATTTTTGTATTTATCAGTAGAGATGGGGTTTCACCATGTTGGCCAGGCTGGTCTCAAACTCCTGACCTCAGGTGATCCACACGCCTTGGCCTCGCAAAGTGCTGGGATTATAGGCATGAGCCACCACACCTGGTCCTGAATTTACTATAACTTTTTATTGTTATTTTGGAGGATATTCCCTCTACTTATTTAAAAAAAAAAAAAAAAGTTAACTATAAAACAGCCTCCAGCAGTTCCTTCAGGAGGTATCACAGGAGATGACAGCTCCATGCGTGTTATTGTCCCTGAAGATCTTCCAGTGGGACAAGATGAGGTGGTGGAGACAGTGATATTGATGATCCTGAGCCTGTGTAGGTCTCGGCCAATGTGTGTGTGTTTATTTATGTCTTAGTTTTTCACCAAAAAAAAAAGTTTAATAAAAAGTGAAAAAAATTAATAGAAAAGAGCTTATATAAAAATATGTTGTATAGTTGTACAACGTGTTTGTTTTAGTCTAAGTTTATTACAAAAGTCAAAAAGTTTTAAAAACCTAAAAAGTGTATAAAGTAAAAATGTTACACAGCGCTAAGGTTAATTTATTACTGAAGGAAAAAAAAAATGTTTTTTTTTTTTTTTTTTGAGACAGAGTCTCACTCTGCCCTCCAGGCTGGAGGGCAGTGGCATAATCTCGGGTCGCTGCAACCTCCGCCTCCCGGGTTCGAGTGATTCTCCTGCCTCAGCCTCCCGAGTTGCTGGGATGACAGGTATGTGCCACCACACCTGGTTAATCTTTGTGTTTTTAGTAGAGATGGGGTTTGGCCATGTTTGCCAGGCTGGTCTCGAACTCCTGGCCTCAAGTGATCCTCCCACCTTGGCCTCCCAAAGTGCTAAGATTACAGGCATGAGCCGTCACGCCCGGCCTGAAGAAAATATTTTTATGAATTTAGTGCAGTCTAAGCGTAGAGTGTTGATAAGGCCTTCAGTAGTGTACGGTAACGTCCCAGGCCCTCACAATCACACACCACTCACTCACTGACCCACCCAGAGCAACTCCAGCCCTGCAAGCTCCATTCAGGTATATATTTTTTTATCTTTTATATTGTATTTTTACTGTACCTTTTCTGTGGTTAGATATGTCAACTACAAAATATTATTGTATTACAGGTTGCCTATTATATTCAGGTTTATAGCCTAGAAGTAATAGGCTATACCAAAAAAGAAAATGAAAAACAAACAAACAAACAAACAAAAAAACCAAACAAACAAAAGAATAGGCTATACCCTATACCTATGTTAATAGGTGTGCAACAGGCTATACCATCTGGCTTTGTATAAGTACACACTGTGATGTTTGTATGGTGATGACATTTCCTAGCAACGCATTTCTCAGAATGCATCCCTGTCATTAAATGACTCGTGCATAATTTTGTACGTGTGTGTGCACATACGCTTCTCTTATGGTCCTCAGTCCCTTTGAATATGCTCACCTTGACGCTGAAAAGAAAGAGCATCTGCTGCCCTTTCAGAGCCCTTGGCAAGTCAGAACTGCTTCGAGCTGTATTTGCATGGACTTATTTTAAAAAGAAAAAAAACACACACATTGTAATTTTGCCCTGCTGTCTGCTTTTTCTCATCACTGGCCCCTTTCTCAGTCCAGAGGCCAATAGATGGAGAGGGAAAAGAAGTGAATGAAAGGGGCACTGTTGTCGAGTGGTTCTGCCAGCAGGAAATATGACCAGGTTCACCCCAAAACGTTGTTCTCTCAGAGGAACAGGAAAACATTTTGAATCTCTCTCTATTTTGTTCTTAAAGGTCGGTTCTTGGGATATTGATGACTTCTGTCTGAGAGGTGCTGCAGGGAGATTTTCAGGATTGTGTGGTCTTTGAGGTGGATTTTTTTAAAGACAACATTGACCACTGTTCACTGTCCACGTGATCATTGTAAGATTGCAATGCTGCGTGCTAGCTGGTTACATAAGACGCAATTCCAGTGACCGAAGGTGGTTATAACGGATGGTGGTGTGTTCAAGATGACACTGGCATCTTTGAGCAGAGCCTGGCTGTGCAGCCCCATTTGATTGATTTAAACACCCTAGAAGTCTGGTTGTTGCTGTTGTCATTTCCTGTGAAATCGCAAGAGAAGTTACAGTCTAGGTGAACTTGGAGTTTATAGGGTTGGTTTTGTTTCTGTTTTATTTTGTTTTTTAACATTTACCTGCAGTGCTATAGCTGTGGATACTGTCACCTGCATGCTATTTCTAGTGAGTCCTAAATACGATATGGGCTAATGACAGTAACAGCCCACAGTGCTGCCAGGACTGCTGTGGGCTTATCAGTGACAGCCCCCACGTGGGTGGAAGAAACCTGTCATTTCCTTCTTACATGTGTTTAAAATACTAAATGAATAATTTGTTCTTCTGGGGAAAAAATGATAAGATGGTAAAAACTTTTTTATATTAAGGGTATCATAAAATGGATATGCCCCACCTCTCAAACTGAAAAAAGAAAAGAAAGAGCATCACTCTACGTCCCAGGGGGCTAAACCCGGGGCAGCTCTGAATGCATCTCCAGCTTCCAAGCTGCTGCTGAGCCCATGAGTGGAGCATGGGCTGAGGAGACTCCCAGAGATTCAGCAAGACCAAGGTCAGCCAGAAAAGGGCCTGGCCTGGACAAAGTCATAGAATCCTTAACACCAGAGCCAGAGCCCCACAGGCACTGAGCACTCTGCCTTTCCACACAGCCCCACTCCTGTCCAGATTCCTTCCAGTTTACCAAAGACAGAGCTGAGGCTGGCCCAGAGCCCTGGCTCGTGAAGTTACCTAGTTACCCCTTACTTGTTTGAAAAGTTATGTGGTTGTGGCATCTGTTTTTTTGTTAATAGAGGTCCATCAATTGGTTTCATATTGTTCATCAATATCAACGATTTGCAGTACCTAATAGTTCGATTCGCTTTGTTCAAGGAGTCCATACTCCTTGATGACTGAAAGTGGTCAATAATGGATGGGTTATACTCGCTCCTCTGACGCCCTGTCTCCAGCTTCATACGCCCCTGCTCTGGAAGCAGAGAAACTAAGGTTCTCTAGAGACACACCCTGCAGACACTGAGGAAGGGTGCCCTGGGGAGGCCAGAGGGCTGCTTTCCTACTCCCCCCATTCCATGGCGATCCTGGCCTGCCACAGCACCCCCAGCCACGCTAGCCACAGGCACTGGCCATGCCAGCCACAGGACTCCCCGCCAGTAGCCTCCTCACATTCTCAAGGCTCTGTGCTGTGAAACATTGCTTCTCGCTTTAAGTCAAAGCTAAATGCACTTATTCAGCCAGAGTGACTTGCCTGTGCCTCATCTTAGGGACCTGGGTTCTATGAGGTCACATTACCCACAGGGTAAAGAGATAGGGAAGAACTCTAGCTGGCTTGCCGGTGGAGAGGCAATCTGGAGCTGCTCCTTAAGGGCAAGAGAGAGAAAGAAGCCTCCATCTGGGGGCCTTGTGGCTGCCCTCTGGTGGCCCTCTCAGGCATTTGAGGTCTTGCAGCTGGCTTAGACCAGGATCTGACCCATTCACTGGACAACTTCAGCTAAGATGTGATTAGACACTGGTCCTTGTTTTGTAAGTGAAAACACAATCCAGATAGAAGCGATAAAAATGAAACATGGTCCTTCTCCAAACCAGGAAGACTGAACACACTGGGATTTCTTTCAATTCCAGGTTTGTTCTTAAATAAGCGTCCACCAAATAACTCTGTGTCCTTCATATTGACTGTGACGACAGTGACTACTGACAGGGTGCACAAGATAAGAAAGACCCAGGCTTCTTCCTCCAGTACCGGGACCTGTTCACATCTCCCTCTGCACTGCTGAAGAGGCTACAGTGGGCAGAAACTGGGGCTGACAGCACATCTGCTCCTTCAGTATTGATCAGTTGCTGCGCCTTTGCTCAGAGGGCCCGTTTTCTCAGGTTCTCTGGAAGAACAACCCATGTTGTACTCGTTCTGGAATGCCTTCCCACTTGAGGCACAGATGAGTATTGGGACTGAACCTTTCATTGGGAGTATCATGACTACTGGCACCATCAGCTTGAGTTCTTGGCCCCGTAAGTCTTACACGTGCTCTGTAAGTGTCTGTTGGATGCATTAGTGCTCACAAGACAGCAATCCAGGTGTTCGATGATAAATGCCCGCACGAGCTTCCAGTTCCCCCTCTCTACCTCAGGAAAGCACAGTGTGGTTTTGTTTCTGTTTTATGCAGGCTTCCTTCAAATCTCTGGGATGGTGTGTCTTTGCCTCAAAAGCAGACCCACCTAAGCCAAAGCCA